TTATTGGTCAAAAATTGGTTATTGGTCAAAAATGTGTGACTGTAAACATTAGCAGAAGAAACATTAGCAGAAGAAACATTAGCAGAAGAAACATTAGCAGAAGAAAATATTTCATCTATAAGACGTCTAGCATGCATTAGGTGGACCCATAACAAGTATTTATTAATTGTTAAATCTTTAATAATAAAACGCTAGTGTAAGTGCTGAAGCTGGCAATGGAGGAACGAGAAGTTCTCAGGCTACACAGGACTTTTGTATAAACTCATCTCATCTGTCCAAGGCCATTAAGCAAACTAGCGAGAACCTTACTTGGAAAGGAAAACGTTGACACTTTAAACTCTCTGCTGCTCTGTTAAGGCTTCTTTTTTGCCTGCAATAAAAATTCTAATCTACTGAGTTGGGTCTGAGGGGTTTCTGCCCTATTAAGCTAATTGTTGAATAAGGGGTTACGTGTACGACATCTGATAGCTAGCTGCAAAGTATTAACTTTTCTGAGTCAAGGCTTCAATATCTTTAATAATCAATAAGATTATTATTGATTATTAAATATACTGAAGGTCAATAAGAATGAAGGGCACTGTCCAGAAAAAGTTGATTAAAAAATGTAGTTGTAATCACAGGTGGATTCTTAATATTGCTCACAATACAGTATGGAATATAAAGCTTTAATCATTATTTTTGAGATCAGAATTTCTACAGCCAGCCAACAAGGTCCTAAGACCCTCTGTCAATAAGGCCTGCCCACCTGCAGTTACCTCCCTGCCTGATGTGATAGCAGCAGCTTTACAATTGGTGCTTTTCAAAGCTCTTATGACTGGGAATTCTTGCTGGAGATGGCATGCGTACCTGGAAATGCCAAGGCATATTTAACATCTCCATTGTATTTGTTTTCCACAGATAGCTGTGGGACAGTTCACAGAGAAGTACATTCAAATACATGTAAGCCAGACCATGATCTATGATGAATGCTCATCACCCTCTTGTTCCCAATTTCACAAGCACTTTTTAATTTGCATGCATGTTTTACCTTTTACTGTCACATGTACACTCTGGCTGGTGGACAGTTGGGGCTGAACCAGAACATTGCATGTGTATTCCCCCTCATCCACCTCCTTCTGCACATCTGAGAGCTTCAGTGTTCCATTGTTTTCAAATGCTACTTGACGATGATTAAAAGGGAGCAGATTAGAATTCTTGTACCACTTGATTGAGTAGTAAGGGTAACCAATGACACGACAGTGAATGAAGGTATCCCGCCCTGCTATTGCTGTAATATTTTTCATTGGTCGAATGCTGGCTGGTCCTGTAAAGATAAAAACAAGCTCTTGAAAATAATTTAGGGGTGTAATTAGTTAAGAAAATATTGTTTTCTTCTAAATATATAATTATTTTATATCCTTTTATAATATATCTTTTATATTCCTCTCTTTTTTAACTTTACAGAGCCATGTAAGGGGCCCTTCCTACTTGTTTTATGCTTTTCAATTTTTCCAACCCTACAGTAGTCATATTAATTAATTCTACATACACTTGTATCACTAAAACCCTTATGACAAAAATCTGTGTTGAATTACAAATTGAAAGCTAGTGAAATTTCAGTTAATGCCAGATAGAAAAGTAGCCTGATATTTCTAAAATCAGGGTAAAAGTTATATACAACTGTTCCTAACCTGTTGCGCTCCAGAGGTTTTGGATGACAATTGATATCACCTCAGTCAGCAGCCCAACGGGCATATGTAATCTAAGTGAAGGGGATACAGTCTGATGCCTGAGGACTGCATTACAGATATAAGTTGCATTGTTCCATACCTGGATATTTACGATGGATGTTAAGATCTCAAAGGGAAAAAAAAGTCATGCAAGCAAAACAAGTTCTATATTAAGTTAAAAATAGTTGAATTGATTAGTATATGTAATAAACTGTCATAGTATATGATATGCTTTATACTGTATAATGGACTGTCAGTGCAATCTGACACACATTTACTCAGAACTAAGCCCTATCAGTGATGCTTACTCTGAAGAAGCTGTCCTTAGAAATGTAGTCTCATACCATTATGCCTACACAGGAAAAATAGAGACAGTACTGCGGGAAAAAAATCATTCTTAGCGTTCCATAGCAAAGCTCATAAATGCAGTTATGTTTTATTTTACTACAATGAGGTTTAATTTTTTTTGTTTTGGAGGAGCTGATTTGACAAGCACCTCTTACGTTTATTCGAGCCTGGTAGAGGACGACTCCAGCTGAGTTGTTGGCAGTACAACGATATACTCCACCATCTCGGACCTGAGTGCTGGAGATGTTTAGGTAGCTGACCACATTCCCATCAGAAGTGATGATCTGACTAATACGGTGGTTCCCATCTTTAATTATGGGATTTTCATCCAAAGTCCACATGATTGTAGGAAGAGGAGTTCCCTTCACATTGCACATCAAGGATACACCTTCCCCTGGGCTTACCACTTTCTCACTGAAGGCTGAAATTATTTTAGGAGTTCCATCTGTAGAAGGAAAGGTATCTAAGTTAATAAGTATCTACACAGAGAAGATGCATGAGACAATTTTTTCAGAAAAGGGTAGCCTTCTTTAGCTCCTCTGATTTAAGACAAAAAGAAGCTAAATAAACACTGATTCAAAAAATAGCACAATTGATTCTCATTTTGACCCATACTTATTGCCTGACAACATCACTAATGTGTTTCTTTCCCCTTGCCATTTCATATGAATATTATTCCTTTCAGCCAATTAGGCTAATTATAAATTTACTTTATAATTAACATAGTGAAGTAAACATAGTGAAGTTAACATAGTGAAGTAAACTAGGAAGGGAAACTTCATGCCTGCCCCAGTTCAGCGCCTTTCAAAGAGACATTGGATTCACCTACTTCCTCTCTTAATTATTTTAAGAAGCTGCTTTTTACTGATTTCTTAGAAGTTAAGAACCCTCTGAACAGCAAGTTTTATTACACCGGGAGAATCTCCTTCTACCCTGCATGAAAGAAGATCCATGTAAGTGTAAGGATTAAAAAGAAAAGATTTACTTTTTGGAAAACAGCAAAAGGGAGCCTAGAATGTGGATTTTGGAAAGTTAAGGGACTAGATGGACTTGAAACACTATTTCCTGTCAGGTGTTTAAAAATTATGAAAGAATATATGAACATTTTGAAATTAATTGTGAGAAATCCTTCTATGGGAAGGTTTTGTTGACTGGAAAATAGATGATAAGAGGGGACTTGAAGGTTGTCTAGAGGGAACCAGAGAGAACAAATGATTACAATTAAAGGAGAAGAGATCCATTAATACAATGGAGCAGTACTATTTCACTGTAGGAGAAATTAAGGCTGTTTGAGAACAATGTACTCAGAAATAAGATTGCCTGATACTATAACAGAGGATATAGAAGAACAACAGATTTTATTGGACAAAACAGAGATTGAGGTTGATTTGAATGTGGATTTGGAGTTTAAAAAATGCTGGATTATAAAAATGATATGGAAAAAATGCTGTGGATTTGAAAATGTATTTAAAAATGCCAGAGTATAAGAGTGATATGGGAAAAGATTCCAAAATGGATTTGCAAATGAAACCAGCTGATGTCATAATAATTAAAGGAGACATACAAATAATAAATCAGAAGAGTAACTTGGAAAGCCTTCTTACTTTGGTTTTACAAAAGGAATGTGTTAAACCGATGAAGCTGTTTCTGAGAGGAGACAAAGAGAAAATTATAAGGTATCAACTTGTGGGACATTATTTGATAGGGTTAAAGATCCAGCTTTTTAAAAGTAAACAGAAGATTTACAAAATGAATTTATTTGGCTACGGTTAAAATATAAGTTGTGGTTTCTGGTAGTTATTAATGGGATTTCTTTTTGACCAGGATTGAATGACGAGTTTTTAAGGATCTGTTTGTAAGTAGGGAAAGATTTCTTTTGCTTTACTTCTTAGAAAGTGATAGGTTGGATCACAAAATGGATTTTTTGATTAAGTTTAAAATACATATTATTTTTGGTAGCTTAATAAACTTTTGCTGATTAAAGTTCAATGATGAGTTTTTATAATTAGATTATTGATAAGGGATGAGATACGGGAAGAATAAATCTTTTTTCTTTTTTTTAAATTGAAGTACTAGGGAAGGTGTTAAGTTACAGGAGTTGTTTATACTTGTCCAGAGGGATGGGGGGAGTCATCTTTTATATATTCTCTTTTTCCTATCTCTTTGCACTTTTTTCTTTTCTTTTTATATTTTCCTTAGTTTGTATTAGTCTTTTATATTTGTACTTGTAAACTCTAATAACATTATTATTAAAAAAGAAAGAAAGAAAAAAATCAATGAATCAGTAAAATGAAAATTCCACCCAAACATAGCTTGTTCAATTCCCATTGGAGCCAAATGTATGACTGGCTTATAAGAAAGTTAGGAGCTCTAGTCCCTGACATTAGTCTGAAGGGGCTTATGCACATAAATATATAAAGGTGTAGTGTTCCTCTATTGGATCTAGGAAGTCTGGTATGTAACACCTGTCAACCAATCACACACCTCTAACTTATCAGAAGTAATGTTAGATGACACACCAGTATTTAGGAATTAGGATTGGCTTAGTTATTTTAAAGAAACCCTTAATATATCCACTCCTGAGAGATTCCAAACAAATGAATAGAACTCATGTTGACTGATTCCTTTATTCATGAGAGCTATAACCACATATACTTTAGGTGTAGAAGATTATATGAAATGTGCACAAACTCTAACCACTTGCAAGAGTTTGCTAAAGTTCTGTTTGCATTGCTATTTATACCATCATATCCATAAATACTTTGGAAAGGAGGCTACATTTTGGCTCATCATGGAAAAAAAGTCTTCAAATCTTAGAACTATTTCAGAAACTTGGAATTATAAAGTTAACAAGGATTAATTTAATCAATGGATAATTTCTTGTTATCTCTTTTAGGTAGAACAATATATAGCGAGATTTAAAAATAATTTGAGGCAGAGAATGCATAAATCTCATGCCAAATCATAAATCTCATGCCAAATATTGCTCACAATCTGCAAAAAGGACCTGATTAATGATTGATTGCATATGGGCTAAACCTGGTTTTCACTGCAAGCAGAATTACAGTGAATTAGAGCAGGCTCAAATATTAAAATTGCTGTGGTCACTAGAATTAATACTACTACTACTAATAAAAAAATAATAAAAATAATAGCTATTGCTCTTAAAATACTGTACTATTTTACTCCAGTGGTAATTACAGTTTAATTCTATCAAAAGTGTAATTCAGAATGCAGTCACAACATACACAAGTAGTCCTCAACTTACGACCATTTGTTTAGCCATCGTTCTAAGTTACAATGGCACTGAAAAAAGTGACTTATGATCAGTCTTCGCACTTATGACTGCTGCAGCATCCTTGAGGTCACATGATCAAAATTCAGGCACTTGGTAACCGGCATGCATTTATGACGGTTGCAGCATCCAGGGGTCACATGATCACCATTAGCGGCCTTCTGAGCCGGCTTCAGCAAGCAAAATCAATGGGGAACCATGTGATTCACTTAATGACCACATGATTCACTTAATGACTGCCACAAAAAATGTAAGATCAGGTGCAGTCATGTGATGCCTCGCTTAATGACTACAGTGCTTAACAATGAATTTTCCAGTCCCTATTGTGGTTGTAAGTTGAGGACTATCTGTATAAAGAGTTCAAGGTATACTTTATACATGCATGAAACTCTTTGTCAGCTCAGGCCTGCAATAACTACTGGATCATTGGAAGTGCTTATACTTTCATTTTCTTTTGTCTCAGTTCAAGAGCAGGCACAGAGATCTTGCCACACTGAAATGTTTTTCAATTGCAACTGCCATTAATGAACACCCAGGCAAGGGTGGGAAAGCCAGTGACAGTGTCTCTTCTGTCCTGCAGCATGATTCACAAGGGACTCCAGCATTCTAATATTTTCTGCATGAAACCTATAAAGATGTCAGCAGGGGCATTCAGGAGGATACTGTATAGCAAACCATTAATTCTTTTTCTGTCCCACTCCCAGTTGTTTTTAATCCTATCTGAATAAGTGAGGAAGTGTTAGACCAAAAGGTCTGCATGCCTCAGACTTCTGCCTCCTCTCAAACACTTCCCATCCTCTCCCTGTGCATTAGCACTGCCATTTCCCAGAAGACAAAAGGCTACAGGCTTTTTATTCTGAAGGGAAATTGACACACAGCTAATAAATCAGGGAATGTGCTCAGTGTGCTCCTCTGCCCTCCACTTTTTTTTCTTTTTTTTTTAAATACAAGTGACAGGCTTTTTGCAGATGAAAGCAGACATTATGTTCCCAGGGAGACCTGTGTCTTAGAAATCTCCCCTGCTGTTGTACTCTGATAACCTGCACTCTCTCAACATCATTAAAGATTATCAATATGCTCTTTAGGCTTTCTTAGTCACAGGAGATGGTTGCCAAGGTAACTAGGTCCACACAGGTAATCTCTTCTCCTTTCTGTGACTATTCTGAAATTAGTTTTCATGCTATGTTTGCACTATAGCCTCATTAGCTCTAAACAAATTGATTACTTTCTTCACATGATTATTAGGTGGAACATGGTGTCAGCAATTTATGGTGATTGCAATGGCTTCAAATAATGCCTGGGATGAAATGTACGTAAGAGAAGTGTGGACTTTTTTCTTCTTGTGCTGGTGGACATATTTATTAATAGGGTCAGCAGGTAGCTGTTCAAAAACATTAAAAATAACATACAAACATTTGTTTCTGAAGGACAGATACTAATGAATTTTGTCAGGTTATTGTTACACTGATTCATCAAATTCTGTACAAATATTAGTTGATCTTACTATTAAAGATAGTACGATCTTTAGATACTATTAAAGATACTATAATCATGAACAGCAGCTAAGAAATCACCCGGAGCTGAACATAAAGGCAACAGCTGATCTGAAAAAGGGCCGATCTGAAAGATATTCTCTTCTCAACATAGAATTGAACAGGGAAGTAATAGAAGAAGGCAACGACAATATTAGTACGATCTTTAGATACTATTAAAGATACTATAATCATGAACAGCAGCTAAGAAATCACCCGGAGCTGAACATAAAGGCAACAGCTGATCTGAAAAAGGGCCGATCTGAAAGATATTCTCTTCTCAACATAGAATTGAACAGGGAAGTAATAGAAGAAGGCAACC